ATATATGTATATGTTTTTGGAATTAATAACAAGCTGAAAAATCAGTTACTCAACACAGGTCTAACAGTAAGGAACAAGAAATTTAACTTTGAAACTTGATAGTTTAGATATAAAACCAAAGCATACCCAGTCCATACCTTACGGCCTAATTCTGTTCCCAAAAATGCTAATGCAAGCTCTTTCATCAGTGGGATCTGAAAGCACTGACAGCAATTGCAATAAGCCCCTGAAATCCACAACAAGAAGGAGGAAATATACTTTCTGAACTAGTAAAATTTTAATTAACAGGGGGTTCTCTTGGCACAATTTTTGCTGTTAAATAAATAAAGCATTTAGTCAAAACCACCTATATTTACTATACGAAATACTGAAAAGCAGTCATTTTAAAAAGATAAGGAAATTTAAGGTTCTGTGAAAAGAAACTGTGCTACATGTTATTCACACTTAATGCACGTAACACAACTGCAACACAGTTTTTAGATATTGTATGTTAATACATGGCTGGTGTGAAGTTTTAGTATGGGGATGCCACATTAATAAAACGTATTTGTATTTCACAGAATCTGAGGAAGGTAGAATTTGTCTTTTGAATCTCCAAATATAATAAACGAAAACAAATCCATGCAAGTTTGTAACAAACAGCCAGTTGTATTACATTTCAGAGTGGCACAGCTAGTACTGCACACTTTCCAATCCGATGGGATTTTGGTTTTGGTGCTGTTATCTTTTCCAGCAAAATATCTTTGGGTAGAAGAGCATTTATGCCGCTTTGCTGCCCTTTCTTAGAAAAACCCACAGTTCTGAAAGGACTCAAGTTTTCCGGAAAGTTTTCTGGTTTTCAGCAACAATCTGCATTTAAAAAATTGACAAAGAAACAATTCCCACCTCCCAGTCTTTCTGGCATATGCTCTATCGAAAAGAGAACAGCTTTAATTACATATTCAAAACAAATAGGATGGCATCCCTTCTCAGATGGAATGTACACTTGTGTGTTTGCATGCGGTATAACGTAAGTCACTTGAATACATCAGACTTTGTTAACACTATAATATAAATAAGCTTATTCCTTCTACTAGACATATAAATGCCTTTTTTTTTTTTTGCAGTCCATAATTATATATACACTGAAAAAGAATGATACACAAGCAGCAAAAAAGGCTTAGACTAGAACAACTCAGTGGTAACTAACCAAATTTGTGGCCTTTTCATATTTTCAATACAGAAAATTCTGCATATAAATATTTTTGGACTTTAGGAATTTTAAAAATAAACAGAACAGTATAGTTGTCACACAGATCAAACACATTTTAAAAACATTTTGTTAGAGTTAGCAGAACACGCTGTTGACAGCTAAAAAATTAAAATAAAATAAAACAGATTTTTTAAAGAGGACAATAAGTCTAAACAACTGCTGATCCAGGGAGACAAGATATGGACCTAATTACCATGAAGCAGTGATTCTATTCTAATTCCACAAGAAGGCAAGGCTTTCGACTTTTCTTTAAAAGTTGATGTCTCCATGTTCTTAGAAAGGACAACATCCCTCTAAAACTGGTCAGCAGTAAAGTAAAACCCCATTTTGGACTGATTAAAACTCTAGTCAGAAAAAAAACAGCCTAATCATAAAGGGCTTATAACAATGTGGGATAGTTACATTTTACAATATATACTATAGACAAAATACCACAACATTTAAAATTATTAAAACCAAAAGCAAATATGTTTATAGAACAATTATGGTTTTACGTGAGGGGTTCTCTAATGTTCCAAAAGCAATGTAGGTGTTTTTCAGTCAATTTCTACCTGTAAAATGGTGATCTGTACAAAACCCAACTGAACGTATTATAAATCTAGGCCCCACAGAAGGTAAACTTGAATGTACTGACCCTTTTTTTTTTTTTCTTTTTTCCAATTTGCTTTTGACCTTCAAATTTCTCAGCAGCCAGTAAGATCTTGTGAGTATGGTCTCATTCTCCTTCATGGAATGGAAGCCCTTTGATATGGAAAAAGTAGAAGAGGCCTGAATGATTGTGAATGATATTTTTTTACATATTGAACTGTCTCTGAAATGGGAGAAGTACAAATTGCTAGGTGCTGGGGAAATTTAAATTGGAGGCACCTAAGAAAATGCCATGGCATATGTTTCTAAAAAGTCACTGTTGTGGAAAAAAAATTATAATGTTAATATTCAAACCACAGATTTCTAAAACACAACAAAATGTACCTGAGAGTGTGCATATTTATATATATATATATATATATTAGTAAAGAACTGTTATTCCTATTCCCCATATTATTTTCCTCAATTCTTTCTCAAAACAAAGAACTGTGGATTAAACAAAACAAAACCCCTCTCCTTCTCAAACCCCCATGAATGATACTTACGGCCCAAGCACTAAAGTCTAGTGATGATTTTGAAAACCCCATTTCACATCCTCCTCTTTTCAAATGGTTACCCCAAATAGAATGGGGAGTAAGAGAAAAAAACAAAAATAAAACAAGTATATTTAAATATTACCCAGTATATAACAGACTGTACTTGTGTCAGTGAAGAATCTCCAAGAAAATAAACTGTAAGTCGTACAAATGTAGCTCTGTTGACAAGTATAGCTAATACTTCCTTGTAATTATTAAGATAATTTGGAAGGATGTGAACACAAACAGGCTACATGAATGCAGTATATTAAAATCCCTCCCCCCCCAGCACATTACAATCAATAAAAAGAAAATAAAATCTGAATAATACTAGAGGTAGCAGCTGTTTGTACTTTCCGTTATTCTGAGTATCTCTGGAGTCCAACCCTTCGAACATTGCTCCCCTGATAAAAGGCTTGTGTGCGATCAGCCGACATACAGCAGAGTGGTAAGCTAGATGTCTGCAATAGTGTTTGAAGTATCTTTCCTACTACAATGGAAGTAGTACTTGTAAAGAAGTGCGTTGACGACCTGTATTAAATCACAGCTCAAAAAGCTACGGCTGTTTGCTGTTTTACAAGCCACTGTAAAAAAAAATTCCACAAGGTGTTTAAGTAAGCTATGCCGTTCCACAACATATAAATAGGGTAAGTTTCAGGAGTTCCATATAACCTCTAAAATATATGCTAGTTGAATATTAAGGGAGTAACAATAATATTATTCATAGTAACACCTTAGTTCTGGTATCACAAGAACGCATTTCCTTCATATGGGATAATTCTCGGAGGATGTTGGTGGGATCTCTTTTATGTCTGGTAGAAGTGATGGTAGTGGTGGTGGTGCTCATGGTGGTGGTGGTGTTCATGTCTTTGTATCATTTGTCCAACTTGGCCTTCATATAAAATGACTGTAGGCAGGTCTCTCACATGTTCTTTTTCCACAACCGTCCCTGGAGACTGGAAGGTTTTGCACATTTGGTGATTCTCCTTTGCCCTCTGCTTATGCTTCTTGTGAACCTGTTGAGATTGCAAGGGGAGGTAAGGGAGATTTTGGCCCATCCGTGCACTTGGGGAAGCCATTGGCATGGGCACCCCTTGAAAAGGTTTATTTCTAACTGCTCTTCCAGGATGCACAGGGGCAACATTTTTGCCCTGGGCCTTGGGAGACCTCACAAAGTGCTTGTTTGAGTCCTGGTTCCGGAGCCTCTGTTGGATTTCTGCGATCTTGGCATACGAACTTTCAGCCAGATTGATGTGGCTTGGATCCACCACTTGAGATTTCCTGTGGTGAGCATGGAAGGTTTCAGGTTCATGAGAACGGGATCTAGTCTGACTCACAACTCTGCTTGGTGGGTCATGTTTTTGAGCTGCTGGAGGAGATCCTATGAAATAACAAGCTGAGTTAGTCATCTAGTATTTTGAAGTTTTAATTAGTAGCATGCAGCTGGCAGGGATAGCATTATCGGCACAGTGAATTTTTCCTAAGGAAGTAAATGCAATTATAGCTGTCTATTTTAATTACATATAATAATTTGGACTAGTAAATAATATACACGCAATTATACGTACATATCTATATAAGAGTGAATGTGTGTGTGTATAAAAGTCTTTACATTACCTTCTCTTGGTCATCATCTATCTGAAATTCACCAAAATAACTGTGAGTGGAATAGTAAAACCTTGGCAAAGGACGAGGAAAGGGAGGAAATGCAAATCCTTTTAATCTGGGGACAGAAGCCAAAATTCCAGGTACGAACCCACATTCTCCTATTTTTGGGTCAGTGGTGAGTAGAAAATATGTGCTGGTATCATCTTGGGAACAAGCTCCACATCCAAAAATCAGTCCTCACCTCACCCATAGACTAAACTTAATAACTTAGATGTAAAGATCGTTCTCCTAGGCTCACCTCCAAGTTTAGCTACACAAACAAGTGCTTCAAAGCAGGCTTGCAGCACATTACCCACTCTGCTGCGATACCACCTTCACCAGTAAATATCTTGCAGTATTCACACAGTCCTGTTCCTTACAGTAAGTTATACAGACAAATCACACAGGTTCACAATTCTCTGTCCCTGATGTGGAGCACGCAACTGAAGAAAGAAAAGATGAAAAGGTTGCAACATAAATTACCAAATTACCTGGCCCAAACTTTGATGTGTAGTTTTCTATTCCTGCAAGATCCAAATAGTGGTTTCTCCTTTCAATGTTCTCATCAACACAATGACGATAGCACCCACTTTGCTCTGGATTGTTCTCACTCTGGTGATATCTGTCAG